TTTACATGGAAAAATTAACTCAAACTTTGGGTGCGTCTTTCACGGTCTGAAGGTAACATTAACATATTTTTCAACAAATCATCTCTAAAATTTGAGGTACGTTTTTTAGTCCGAAAATATGGTACGCCACTAAGGGTAGATATGACACAAGTTATCTCAAGACAAGCGGGGTAATCACCGATTTACTTACACTCTTCGTCCATTATCGTCGATAGCTAGTAATAGGCTTCGACTGTCGTAGGCGCTTTTGTACGATTTTTTTAACTTTTATATCTTGTTTTTTTTTACTTTTATAAATCTGTAAAATCTTTATTCTAAAACTAAAAAAAACAAAACTTGAGACATGGAATCAGTGCAACAGAAAGACATTTTAGTCCACCAAGGACGCGAAGTTACCGCAACAGGACTTATAAAATGACCAACAATTTTATAAGTTTGTACCTGGGGAAAAAATTCATGGGAAGCTATGAAAGAAGAGTAAAATATAAAGTCAAATAAAAATTGCTATAGATGGCACTGAAGATGACGCAGTTTTTGAAAGGAGTGACAGCAGCAGTTCAGCTGAAAGCGATAGTACCGAGAGTGAAGATGAATTGATTATTCCTAGTACGAGTTATTTTAACAATAAATAAAAGTTTTGATCTGAAAATAACATAAAATACATTTTTCCAAAAATCATCTTATAAATTTGAGGTGCGACTTATAGTCCAAAAAATATGGTACTTCATTTGGTAGAGCGAATTGGAAAATGATAACAAACTACTGACCATTGTTATGATTATATATAAAGTCGTATAGAACCTCAATGTTATGTTCTTCTGGATAATGCCAGAAGTTTCTTCTTTGAAAAGATCATTACATTTCATTTTCCTATATATGAAAAATATTCTCTACAATTTCGACATGAATAAGCACTGTTTTGTTATACTTCTCCTCTTCTCTTATGTACATCAAACACTTTTGCCTCTTCTAATTATTGTATCAAGCAAACGTATACGCGTAATATATGTGATAGGAGTTTTTTTTTTCTTTGTCTCCTCTTTTCCTCCTCCTGTATTTTTCTCGCATATCTTGAATCACTCGCAACAGCCACGCATATGTAGTCTTGGTTTGTTGCCAACTGAACAAAGTTCCATTACAATGAAACCTCAATGCACATTAAGGCTAACACCTACACTCATATGTGCGCTTAACTATCACATCCAATAAACATGAAAATGTAAAAGAATATATTACATGTGCTTACGTCAGAAATAGGTCAGTATTCATAATTTTGTAATCATCATAAAATGTTCAAAAACTTTTACTTTGCATTATTTCAGTCGAAATTAGGCAGAACATATCCCAGGGGGGAAACACTAAACGCTAAACGCTAAACACGGCTTCACTGTATTTTGACATCGCCATCATCGCCACATACAACCCTCTTTTTATTTTGTAATTCTTCATAAAATGCGGAAAGTGCATATTTTGATGTTGGTTGTCAGGCTTCCTTAATGACTCTTCGTCAGTTGGAGTATACTTAATACCGAAACAAATAAAAACAAATATACTTAGTTTAAAGCGAATTTTTTGATACCTTCTTGTTTTTATAGGGTGGAATATTTCCACTTAAACCGAACCGAAATTACTTTTTCTTTGCTCACGCGTTTGCTTGGGCGCTTGTTTATGACTCATCGCTTTTTTGTTTTTTTTTTTTTTCAACTTAATTCATAGGCTTGGATTGCATTTTCAACTATGAAGAAATGATTTCAATTGCGTCTAGAGAGTGCAGCTCTTTTTGCCGTTTCGACCCAATCGGAATTGTAGAGTTAATAGACCTGCTTTCTTTACTGGCAACATAAAATACACACATAAATACATAAAGGCAACAGACAAAGACTGAGAATTTAGGGTAAATACAAAAACATAATCTCTAGTGTTCACATATTCACGCAGATGAATGCGCACAAAACTATAAGACTGACGGTAAGGATAAGAGCTTGCGAAAAGGAAGTTATAACCGCAAGACACAAAGGAAGCTTTCAGTAAATATTTCTTGTTATTGTCTTCAGGAAGGAAAGGAAGTTTACACATATACCTATATTAATAATAATACAGTTTCTCTTAATACCGCAGGCATATGCGGCTTTTTCAGATTCATACTCGCAACTTATTTATAATAAATTTAAAATAGACATGAAATTTGAATTTTAAACCGTTGCACCCCTACGATAAGAGTAACTTTTAAACATTCCTTTCTTTTTTATACCGTACTTCTAGACGTCAACATTCTTTCATGGGTAGCCCTGATAAGGTACGCGGTAATACTCAAGATCTCTTCGAACTGCTGGAAAAAGTACAATGTTCTCGTTTGGAAGACCAAAGATGCGAGCTACCGGCTTACTTTGCACAGGTATGTATTTACTTTGGATCAACTTTGTAAATTTCCCTATTTAAAGCATTCAACGAGTTTTATGGCCAGTATTTTTAGTTTAGTTAGCAAAATTTCCATAACGCAGCAATTCATAAAAGATTTACAATACATTGACCCGAGTAATATTCAGATTAATTTATTTTGTGAAAGTTTTAAAAATGTTCCGAGCTATTTGTGGAAAAGTTCTGAATAGCATTATATATATAACAATTTTAAATAATTATCTTTTTGTTATGGCGTGATCACATTTGTTAAAGATCGTGAAAAGTTGCAAACTAATGTTTGTTTGTTTGCAAGAATGTAAAGTCAGCCTTTAAAAAAGTAAACATTTAAATTATAGTTACATTCTGAACATTGACAAAAAGAATTATGCAAAACATTTTATTGAAAGTATTATGCAGGTGAGGTCTGGCGTGGATTCTTAAGCGAAGAGCAGTGTGTGGGGAAGTGAAAGCTTCTTAAATACTTATATCCCAAGGGCGTACAAGGGCGCGATAAGTTTGTGCGGGTGTATACAACACCGGAAGATTTTTACCTTTTTTATATCTTTCATTATACTATGTTTGTCCGTTCATCTGTCCGTTTTGTATTCAACCTATATGAGACATTTCCATAAAAGTTTGTCCGCAAACGTATTTTGACTCAAAGGTGAACGCATTTGAAAATGGTTTGGATCGGAAAATTTTTCCAACCACTTCCCATATAATGCCTCATTTTGGAAAGTCGTTAAAAGAATACTTGTAAGCATTTGTAGGTTTTCCTATACCCTATAGTGCTATTATTTGTTTTTGCGAATCTACCGTTATCAGACCACACACTATTTTGAAAAGTGTATATATATATACATATACGATATACGAATAGCTGTATTTAACGAAGTGATGTAGCGTGTATAATGGCGGACTGTGGAGGTGTATAAAATTTCATCAATATTCCTCAAAACTGCGACCTGTACTTTAAACAAATTTAACGGACGGAAGGATAGACGAGCTTAGAAAGTATTCAGGAAGTGATTCTGAATCGATTGGTATAATAAAAGGTGGGTCAATCTCAATTTCTTGTGGGTATTGTATACATCCCCACAAACTTAATAAATCTTAAATAAATAAAACATAACACTTAAATACATTTTTCCTATTAAACTGTCGAAGGACTTTTTGTACAGTATTATATTTTAAAAAAATCGGCTATACGAACTGTTGGTTACAATCAATTTGATTAAAAACCTTGAAATGCACACCAAAATAGACAATGTTTGTGTAAAAGCATTAAAAGACCTATAAACAAATTGGGCATTGCTTAGCTCACCTCTCTGCTTTTCTGCAAGATTTTTCCTTTTCACCGTTGTTAACTTAAGATAAATGTCCACTGTAATTAAAAAAAAACGATTTTTCTAAATTCTTCGAGTTAGGAACCCATCTTAAATAGCTTGAAATGTTTTTATATTAAAATTCCCGCATTAAGTGCTAATATGAGCTAAATTGGATAGAAACTCTACACTAGCAAGGTTGTGTAGGTAGATACGATATCCACCACGTAAAGTGATCCATGATGTGCTGAAAAATTGTGCAAACATATAATTTTAAGCAACGAGTATTGGTTTATCATAACATATTAATGGGAAATACCTTGCAATCAAATAACGCAAATATATATGTACGCTTACTTACATGTACCTATGTGAATATGCACAAATAATATAATGTGCACACATATGCGTGCGCATGCAGACCTAGTTCAATTTATGAAAGATTTTAACATTTCGAGATTAAAAAACTTTGGTTTTCCTTAAAACTTTTGTGTTCATAACCATTTTTAGGAAAAGAAAAAAGAAATATTATTACTATCTATTTCTCGAAAGAACGTTTCCCTACATAGTCATTTTTTACGAAAATGTCATTTTTAAATTGGTTTTCACTATAATTTATAATGCTTAAAAAAGCATGTGAAGCGGCAACACTGTTCTAAACAAACAATTCATTTCGCCATCTGGTAACACATTAGCCGGAAACTCTCTCTTTAAAGCCATTTCGCTTCCTTAGTAGTTTTGAAAAAAAAATTGAAGAAGGCTTTAATAAAATTTTGTGGTAAAAGTATGAACATATGAAGAAATGCATCCCTAGTCTTAAAATTTCGAAAAGGCCAAATATTCCAACTTTATTTAAATTTTGTGGTAAAAGTATGAACATAAGAAGAAAATGCAACTCTAATCTTATTAAAAAGGGAAGAGAGATACACTGCCCATTATTTTGCGTCTTTTTATTAACACATGCTTGTAAAAAGTGTTAAACAGTACACTAGTAATCCTATTAATTCTAAAATGCTTTAAAAAAGTACAATTTTTACATCTCTGCGGTAGTGAAACTGTCTGCACAGTCTGCAAAGTCGTAGCATAACGAAGTTAAAGTTAGCTCTAGTGTTTGATTTGCTTGGCACCCATTAGAGTATTGCTGGCATTGTTATTGTAAAATTTTGTTTTACTCTCGTGTTTGAAAAGGAGAGAAGAAAATAGGGAGAGAATCACCACTTTTTAACCATTGCTTACGTGAATATATAAACCTAAACATTTTCTAGGTTTTTTTCAGTCAATTTTTTCTCTTTCAAAAGTTAGTTCGATTTTCGTGTTTTGTGTCGTGTGGATAATAAATAAAAAGAAGTGAAAAAAGAAAATTTATTTTCATACTTCCAGCATTGCTTTGAGCATTAATAGCTATATATAAATACAAGTATATGTGTATTGGATCAGTTGTTGTTTCTTTTTTTTTGGCTTGTTAGTAAAAAAAAAAGAAAAAGAAATTTATAAATAAAACTTTTTTTTACATTACATTGCAAAGCAAATGATGACTATAACGATGACAAAACCATCTATGTGGTTGTTGTTATATTGCAAAAGGTGTACAAAAAGTATAAGTGTGTGTAAAGAGAATGGTTTTTTCTATACTTAATCCATTTACATAAAAAACAATCGTCACAAGCAATTTTTAAAAACAAAGGGTTTTTTTCACAAAATCCATTAAATGTGTTTTTTACGACTTATATATGGCAAGAGAAGCGCTTTGAAAGTTAGAAATTAATAATAAAATTTTCAAGTCAAATAGTAATACTCACAAAAGATATCCATATGCATATATATATATTTGTTCAAACATATATCTAAAGCTTATGTCAAAGCTTCATATTACAGACATACTTATACGCCGAGGAATATGAATACAAAATAAACAAAGAAGCTTAAACTGCAATTACTTCTCCACAATTGCTTTAGCGTTCTCGAATAAATAGATAGTGTGTAACGAAAAAAAGTAAATAACAAACCACCATTCAGAGCGACATCGATCGACAAAACACAAAGCTGTAGAAAACTTGCCAAACAAGTCTAAAAAATATAACGAATTCAAAAAATACGCTCCCAAGTAAAACGTCAAGTAAAATATACAAATAAAAAATGAAATAAAAAAGAAAGAAATTAAACTGCCAAAACTACTACTAGTTAGGTGCGCGTGTGTACTTGTACAAATCAAGGATTTATACGTATTTATTTAAGAATACGTATACAGATGTAATTGTCTTTACCATCGTTATTATTGCCATCGCAACCAAAGTCTACATATGCGTGTATGCATACATATATATATATATATATATATAAATAAAATATATATGAAAAATTAATACCGGATTTGCTACGTACGCCCACTGTGCACTGATGTCTATGCAAGTGTTAAAGAAAATCTGATATTCCGACTTCTTTAAAAGGAAGCGTTAAGTAACAGACATCAAGGGCGCCTTGCTTAAATTACACAAAGTGTCTTTTAACCAAAGTGGCATATTATACCGAAGGGGCTGAACGTCGTTGGGTGCGTCAAGCTGTTATGGGGGTACTTAGGTGGCGCGATCTGCCCGGATCGCGAGTATCTGTAGGAAACCATCACAACAATAATACTGCTAATAATCAAAATAACAATCATAGTAACCGTGGAGAGGTAAGTCGTCATGTCTGTAGTAAGTGGTTTTTAAAAAAATTGATATAAGCTCTTCGAGAGGATAGAAAATGCCAAGCGCACAAAAACATAAAGCGTTGAACACAATGCGTCATGCAAAACATCTTCTTTTATATGGTTTTACTCCAGCAATGCAATGCAAGTTATATGTTCAAAAAAACAAATTGTATTTTGACATTTAAGTGCATGATGCACGATGCCAATGTATTCATTTTGTTCAGTGCTTAAGTCCTCATCACATCCACTATTGAATGTATTGGCATAGCCATTTAATTAATTTACTTTTTTATTTATTTATTCATTCGGCTAACATAATACAGTCGTTTAAGGTATATAGAGAGGCCTAAAATTACTTACTGCGTAGCGTAAATATAAATTAATTATATATATTTCATTAACGATAATGACAACAGTAAACTTGAAGTAAATTATTAGGTCGAGTCATAAGTAACTTCCGATACAACTAGATAAAATCTATTGTTCGTATTTACCCACTATAAATTACCGACATAAGCGAGATTTTGTTTTCACGACATTGATAAGAATTCAGTTAGTCTTCTGCTTGTTACATTAAAATGTTTTTCTTAACCCCTGAAATGGAGAGTCAAAAAGTGCACATTCGATCTGCAAAACTTTGGGAATTTAAACATGGCAATAGCGCTACGGCGACAGCTGAAATAATATGCAGTGTATATGATGAACGACTGATAACTGATTGGTTAGAAATTGGTTTGTAAAATCCTGTTCTGGAGATATGACCTTAAAAAACGGCACGTCTTTTCGACTTTGACAACAACAATTTAAAGGCAATATTGGAGCAAAATCCACGCCAATCAACAAGAGGTTGAACATCTTACAATCAACTCTTAAATTAATATAATCTTGTTATTCAATGAAAAGAAAACAAATGTCCGATAAAAAACGGAAGTTACATATGACTCGACCAAATATATCGAGTATTCCTGAAAATTCCATACAAATTGATGTGATCGATTTTCGCAAGGAGACATCGTGCGCTGACACGCGCTATGGAATATTAAAATTAATTCTGTGAATTCTGTGAACAGGTTGGAGCATTAAACGATTTAATCATAAAGACGACTCCGAACGCATGTCTCCGCTTATAAAGAGTTGGAGGATTAATCAATTTCCGACCGTTAACGTTTGCAGGCAAAGTACAAGAGGCATTTGTCGCCCCTTTCGTCTAATGATGTCTGCGATAATCCTGCTTGTCTGTCTAACTATCGAACTACTGACTGTTATTTTTTGGGATACTCTTAAGTAGCACTTGAAGACCATCGGATGTTCTATAAAAGGAGGCACGTGTCATTCCTGAGCTAGCTAGTTCGGGAGATATGAGAGGGTTTAATCGAGAAAAAATACACCTGCTTTGCTCTTGTAGGAAACTACTTACTGGGCGGGCAGATCATAAGAACTGGGCCGTTCTGAACACTAGCCTACCTATGATTGCCTTTCGCCCATGATTTCCCTTAGTCGTCGTAAGGGAAATATAAAAATTTATTTTTTTGTTTTTTACATCAATACTATATTCATAGCTTGGAGACCAGACCAGTGATGTGTACGTTAGGCCTGGCCGTGCAAACGTGCGAAAATCCTTAACTTAATTTCTAATACACAATAACCAGTAGAATGGGCGGCAACTTACTAAATTCTAAATAATTTTGTTAGTTGATATAAGTGTTCGTCTATACGAGATTAAAACTGCTAAGGTAACAGGTGGCGCCAATGTACCTGGCTAAGTCCTCTATACCCCAAACACGAATCATTAGGGATCAGTCTGTCTTGTTAGATTTTCTTGGTTACACTTACGGAATTCTAAATAATTTTCTTAAGTGAAATAACTGTTTGTCTAGACGAAACTAAAATAATCTAAACATGGAAACGGTATCAGTTCGTTTACAAAATTCGTTCTTTCTAGATATGCTTAGTAAACAAAAACAAAAAGTTCTAATACAATTTTATAAACTCGTAGAAAGTATTTGAGTGATCCGATAATCTATAAGAGATGATATCGGTGTGAAAGGAGAAAGCAATGTCTATTAAATTTAACTGGCACGCTCACAATCGACAATAAATCGTTTTCATTATACACTTGTATGCTGCGGTAAATGTCCACAATACATCTCAAGGCGAATGAATGATAAATGTTTTGATTGGCTTGTTAAAAGTTAAACAAAGTCCGAGTCAGATAACAATAAGATAAACGAAAAAGTCATGTTAAACACAATTCGAAACTATTATATTAAGTTAATATTTAACTTCATCTGTTCAATATATTCTTTGTAAATGTTTTACTCGCATAAGCAAAAACAAAATGTCAGCGTTGCAAGAGGAAAAGGTTGAAGAGTGTTGCAATAATCTTTGAATAAATTGATATTGTTGATGGTTAGATATTAATGACCATATGGTAGCGTACGATTTGATGCCATTTATCAAGGATGAATCCACAACATCGTTTCCAATTAAAAGATTCTTAATTAACGTAGCCATAACTCACCTTTCCTTTCGCTGATTCTTGACTTGTTGGAAGACTTAGTTCGCTTCGAATATTGCAAATTCCCTATTCAGACTAAGAGAACATTTTCGCAAGCACAACAACTATTTGCGAGAAGGCGTCGCGCGGACTATTATTATCATTACATATAATTAAGAAAGTAAGTTTTTGACATACAGCAAGCAGTAATCCCTTGTATTAAATTCGGCCTCAGTGATCGGATAGGCAAAAAGTCTCGACTAAGAACTTAATGGTCGTAGATTTACATAGTAAGTGCGGTAGAGTTTTCGATAAAGACGATAGCCTTCCATAGTGTTAGTGCTATACAACTTTATTCTTAAACTTTATTTTTCTGGCTAAATTAATAATGAAAATAATTTTTTTTTTTTTTTTTTTGTGATTCATTCATTATGAGACATTTACGATTTTTGGGAAAAACCATGATTTTTGCGAATACATTCTATATATGCCATGATGCACCATCGGCTTTTAATTATCTTAACAGCTTGTGCTATAAATGTTATCTTCTAAGGGTGAAATGCTCACAACACTCCTCCAATACTAAATTTTTTCCTAATTTTGTAAACTCAAGAAGGCATGTCTCTGCTATGCCTTAGTATGTATCATATACAGATCGAGACTTCTCTGAAGAACAAGGAATCTTGAATGCATGCAGATGTCGTGAATCTATACAAGACTGTTCACATAGAGCTATGTTTCAAGTCGATTTTAATGATTTTCTTACTTGATGTTTGGTGAGTGGTTTAATATTGAACCTGGGTAAATATAAGAAAATCACCTTTTCAAGACGGGCAGTATATCGAACACAATACTTTATTAATTCACATAAATTGGAGGATACAGAAGTGACTTATGATTTAGGTGTGCCTTTTGATAGAAAAGCCCGGTTTAACTTACATAATCGGTGCAAAAACCATTCCCGCTTTAAGGGATTTGCCAATGGGGCCTCCTCGTAACCCTCCCACTAAATGAAGATAGACTATTACTCATATCATTACCCTCTCTGAAGAAACGTCGATTTATGCTCGATATCTCATTCTTGGTAAAATTGATGAATGAAATTATAGCTTCTATAGCTTTTTTGACTTCTGAAGAAATTATCAGTAAAAGCAATTATGAATTATTTACGGCGCTTAGGTTCCTTAGCAACAATTTAAACAAGGTCCGCAACCTGATCAATACATCTGGTTCTATATAGTTATTATAAAATCAGCTCATACATGGCCAATGTTATACCTTGACGATAATAGTTAATAAGTGTGTGAGTCGTGTATCGGCAAGCGTTGCATTAATAAAGTCTCGAAACTCGGAATAAAGAGCCAGGATGGTGTTTGCGTATTGTTTAGTTGCATTTTATAGAAACATGCGTTCAAAAATATAGATGTAATTACTTTGGTTTAAGTTTTGTGGCGATAGCATGTTGCATTGTTTATTGTCTGTTCAATTGTTAATTCGTAGCCTAATTTGGCCGATGTAGAATACAGTAATTGAATTGAAAAAAAGAATAAATAAACAAATACTTGAGACAGTTCGGTGAGACATTTTGCATATCAAAAGCCATAATTTTGATCATTTTTTTTTTTTTTTGTAAAATTGCCAAAGTCGCAGAAATGAGGATAAGAAGTTGAAGTTTCACACAAGGCATTGCTTGATCAACTGAGATTGCGATCTGCCTACAATTGAAAAAAAACGGAGACAATTTTCCAAAAACGACGACGACGACGACAATGTTTTCATATCATCTTCTGTAACTTTCGACCTCGTAAAGATATTTCGGAAACGGCGCTTGAACTGTTTGTCAAAACCTGCCAGCGTGCTTGGTTCAATTGATTTACTAACACGATAATTATGAAAAAATCCGCAATATAATTAAAATATTTAGTAGGATGAATTGCAGAAGCATTCCGTTACTTATAATCATTGTCTGAAGTTAGTTGTAAGAAAAGTTTAATCTATTCAAGCCCTTTATAGCGTGCATATATGATCTTTGACGATAACGAAGATAGAAGTGAAGACAGTCTAAAAGATAGATCGAAAACTTTCAAGCCCTCATAGCTCCTGAATCGCAACATTACCTTAGCAGATGTCATCAGTGAAACTTAAATTACTTAATCGTTTGTTTATTACTTCACGTAATAACTTAAATTTATCTAAGAAAATGTTTTAAATCCTACAAACGGATATATAAGATTCACGCCAAATCAAAAGAAACTTTGATTTTTTTCACTCACTAGTAGTAGCGTAGTAGTAGTAGTAGACTCAAGTAAGATTTGATCGAGTTTTCTTACTGCAGTAATAAAACTGTATCTCACTTGCAAAAAAGAGCATCCAAAGCGAGTTTCGTCTTAATGAACCCATTAATTGACATTATTTTATAGCGACATATTTTCTTCATAGACACCAAGAGCGCTATCAGGTTTTAGGGTGTTTCCGTACTCAAAACGCG